CGTTATATATCTTTTATAAAATAAAATTGATCATTTCAATAATTAAATCACATCTAGTGTGACGGAACAGACGGCTCTCTTCCGCCCACTGGCTCATACTACATACATAGTATGATATGACGGCTCTTTTGGACCTTCCTTTCACAGCTTAGAGCCCTAGCTCTATAGCTCTAGACCTAGGCATCTTACGCCTAGGACTCTTTCACCCTTTTTGGCCTAGCCCTTATGGCTCCCAATACCTGTATATATAGTCCTCCTTTTAGCATCCTACATAGCTCTTCACTTGTAGATTCTAAGTACACAATCGGAGTTCTGTTTATACCCTTTTGATTACATTATCTACAAGTCAATACTCACAGTTACAACTAGGGATAATCGTTAAATCTATCCAAATCTCTCTCTCAAAACTAATACCAATTATATCGACATTATCTAGAAGTAAAGAATTCGTATCAGTCGATAACCTCAGATTTCTGTTAATAAAGTGATAACACAATAGTTCTTTCAAAAAAAAAAGGTTAAAGTGGCACTCCTAGTTCTAGCAATAGCAAAAATCAGTGTAACTCATCTGGTTACAAGCACAATGCTATTAGTACTCCTCTTGACTTTTTAAGAGCTCCTGGTGCCCTTTGTTGTTCCCCTCCTTCCCCTTCTGAATCATTACTTGGTAATAATCCTTATATTTCTCCTTCAATAGAAGAGGTATAGGAAATCATTACAATGAATCCCAGGAAATAATCAGGGTTTTATTCCTCTTTACCTACTTCCTCTACTTCAGAATCCTTTGTATTTGCGGAGAGCCGAGTCGACAATATCTATCTAATACAGATCTTGTATAAGATAAAACAAAAACTAAAGGAAGTACAAACTAAACTGATAGAAAAAGATACTTTGTTTATTCCTACTTATAGTGGGAATAGAGTATCTGGTAAGCAAGCCCCATTAATCCACATTTCCTGTTCTCCCTTCAATTGTATTACTCAAGTCCCTGACCCTACTATATCACGCTATATCTATTGTGATGATACCTTCTCTAAGGATGAGCCTATCCCCTTTATCGAAAATCAAGGACTATATCGCCTTGCTTCTATTCCTGTATATTTTTATTATACTATCAATTTTACACCTACACCAGATACAGAAACGAATATCTGTTGTGAAAAAGCTTACTGAGTTATCTCTGCCTTGCATTCCTCTTTTTGACAATTCCGAGTCTCTGATCTAGTCACAAAACTTTCAGATGGCCAAGCTCCTGATTTCCGGGTACAAGTATGGAACAAGATGGTCACGTATACTCTACAGGACTACCACACTCACTTTTTATCTGATAATCACTGTTATACATAGATTTATAATCAAACTGAGGGATGGTTATGTAGTACCCTGGAATCTTTTTATTTGGATAATAAATATAATGTTTATAATCTCATTCAGCAAGTAGTTTTTGTTATGCTAAACCCTTTTGTGGTTCGAATAGTCAAAATCAAATACAACTCTCTTGTTATATTACCCAGGGAAAGGTTCTTTGATTTCTATTCCAAGTTTTGTAATCTTACTGCTTAGGTAGAGATCCTTGATAACAAGTGTTTTTGTAATGATCTATTCGATAAGGCAGTATACCACTTGACAAGTACTTCTGACCACGAGTTTGCATATTCTACCACAATTGATGAATATGCCGAAATTCTAGGTAACCTTGATATCGCTTATCAATGATTTGCTGTAACCTATATTCTTTATCTTTATTACTTTTTTCAGGGTATTCGCCTTACTCAATTACTTTTCATTTTCAGTGCTATAATACTTTGTAGTAGTATCCCTGGAGTATACAACAGATCTGTAACACCTTCTGATATACTTTATTGTTTGCCCTTTGTCATACCTATTCTCATTCCATAACATTTTTCAAGTGGACCCCTTCCTACTCCTTCCTCTGGTTTCAGATAAGCCATTTCTCAATATATATCTCATACCTCTATAATTATCAATAAAATTAATAATAAAATGAATCCCGAGTTGGATATTGAAGAGTTCGATAACGATTATAATAATTAAGAAATTGACTAAATTGACCAAATTGACCAAATTAACCAAATTAACCAGACCGAGGATTTTCTACCTCATTCAAAAAAGGATACTCTATAAATACCGTTTCTCTTATAAAGCAGATACGGGATATGTTATACCTTGACTTGCATACCCTCATGAATAGTCGCCATCTCTCTTTTCTAATTACTTTGGTAAAAGATAGCATTGCATTCAAAACACAAGGTCTAATAGATTCCGGAGCCAACGGTTATGCTTTAATTGACCAGAACCTGGTAAAGCATCTTGATTACCATACAAAACCAGTCACATGAAAACTACCGACTCCTATACCTATCAAAGGGTATAGTAGCATTATCAATTTATATGTTTCTTATATTACTTACTTTACTTTAATAATCGATAAATATATTCAGTGTAACACTTCTTTTCTGGT